TTTGGACTCAGGATTCATCAAAGTTCAAGGATAAAGGACGTTGGGTTCGTGCCACAGTACTTGGACAAGAAGGAGCTATGGTCCAAGCCAACACTGGTAAGGCAGTAGTACGTGTGAATCAGTCAAAGGTTAGACGTGATCACGATGAGTGGCATGATGTTTCCATACCGGCATTAGACGATGAGAATCCGGAGAACTTACGTGAAGATCACGAACTGTATGTTGATGCCGAATTTGGAGAACAGTCCTTTTTCTTTTGTAATGATGATCATCCTGATGTTGTTGAGTTACTTCATGGAAACAGTGGATTATCTTGGTTCCTTTCAAGGAATGGTGTGAGAGTTGCATCTCCTGTGGATTTCAAGGCAGGATACAACTTTTCCACTCTGAAGGGTCAAGATAGTATTTGGCAGCAACTTGAGAGATTGCAGCCCCACTGTGTAGTGATCAACAACCCTTCTCCTAAACAAAATAGAGCTTCGATTTGGTTGCTATGTTGCAAGGTGATTGAGTGGCAGTTGAGAAGGAAGAAACATGTGTTTGTGACTGTTCCCAAAGGAAACAAGTTTTGTTTGTTTTTGCAGAAGTTCATTTCGTTTTTGAAGAATCCGGTCTTTACCTTTGATGTGAATATGAATTGTTTCTGCTATTGTCCTAAGGGAATTAGTTACGTGACAGTCTTCCACTCCTATGCATCCTGTCAAGGATGGAAAGGTATTGGTGACTGTTCCTTCCAAGCTAAAACAGTGCAAGCCACGAGAAGCAACCAGCACTTTAAGGATGCTGACTGGAAGAAGTTTCCATTTTCATTTTTGGTTGAGATGAATCGTTTCCTTCCTTATAGTGAGACTTCCGACAAGCGTCAGAGTTTCCTTATTGAAGATCTTCTGGAGAATTTTGACTCTGGAAGTTTATGTGGAACAGCTCTTTTGTTAGAGAGAGAAGCTCATCAGTCAATTTTGCTGAATTCCGTAAGAACGGAAGAGACGACGGAAATTCCGGTTCCACTTCGACATATTCTACCACAAAGGTTCACTACTACTGAACTGATCAGAACCTTGAGGCAGGTCGATGCACTACCTCAGAGATCAGAGTTTGATGTGACAACATCCTCTGATTCTCGGATTGTGTCATTGATTCCAGGCCTGAAGGAGATTAGGCGAAGAACCTTGCCACAGATGTACTTTGAGAGATGTAAGGTTTTTCGTGGTACTTTTGGCAGAGTGCATCCTCTCTTCAACTCTGAAGATGATGCAGTGTTGATTATGTGGAAGCCAGGAAAATACCATCAGGTTTTCTTTATGTTTGTGTCACAACTGTGTCCTCATCATGAACAGTTTTTGGTAGATCATTGGAGTATGATAATTTTCGAAGCAGAGACGACAGGCGCCGTGAAGCGCGTTGTGACTCCTGATGAAGTAGCTCGAGAGGATCCTAATTAACCTCCAGACTACGGACCACCGATGGATGATGATATGGCTTATGAGCCAAATCCAGTCTCGGGGGAACAGCAGTATTTTGATCCAGATGATGACGATATGAATCCGCCTGGTGATGGACCGGGTGGCAACCCTGATGATCATCCGGGTGGACAACCTCCGGGACCACCTCCGACAGGTCCCGGAACTGTTCCGAATCAGTTCGGAAATCCCGATGTTCCTTTGGAGCAACTCGGATATCCATCGAGCGATCCGGAAGAGGCAATGCCGGAGATTTCGAGTGAATCCCGTCCGCCAGATGATCCGGGTCAACCGCCGATAGGTTTTCCGATCGATACGGATCCCGTTCATCCGTTCGTTCCGTCGCCCGATTCGAACACGCCGGAGCCAGAACCATATGTTCCGGAGAATCGTGAACGTCACAGCAAGCAAATGCGGAAGCTTTCTGTGGACTCAACTGATGCTTTGCCAAAGGCCAAGGTGAAGTTTCAGGTTAAACGTTCTAAGGTTCAGTTGCCGGGACATGACGAACCTATTCCGGCACCTCCGAAGTCTGTTCCAAGGAGTTTCTTTCCTGGACATTCGGAGAATCCGACAGCATCAAGTTCGAACCCAATAGCTTCGGTTAGGCAGATTTCTAACTATTAGTCTATATACTGTTTCTTAACTATTAGCTAAAACAGATGATTAAACTATTAGTCAGAACAATGGTTTTAACTAATAGTTTGAAAGGTCAAATAAACTAAAAATGTAAGGTTGTTCAATTGATTAACCTAAAAGGTTTGTGTTTTCTTCAAATGATTTTTGATTCTATTTTGTTCAAAATGCTCTTGCCAAAAGCAAGACACTCTTCACATAAGGTATCACCCTAAAAGATTCACCTATGATTTTCCTGACACACAAACACAAATTCACCTCAACAAGTTGACCAGAATAACATATTCACCTTAAATATTCACCTCGTGCTTTTACTCAGAGCAGCCAGGTTCACTTCTCAAAAAAGATCTGGATACAGGATTCACCTTGATTCACCTTAGACTGTGGGTGGGAGCACACAGATTCACTTTAAAACAAAATCAGAGCCAGAGGTGCTTCAGTCAGAAAAAGATTCACCTTAGCCTTTCACTCAGAACAAAGGCAGGTTCATTCCACAAAAGAATCAGAGTAAAGATTCACTTCAAAGGTTCAGCCAAGGCTTTCATTCGACAAAGACAGAATCACACCCAAAAAGATTCATAGTAAATGAACCACTGTAGTTCATCAGCAATGATGCTGTTCACTTCGGAAAAGGCAAGTTCACACATGTGCGCAAGACCTTCACACCTCCAATGTGTTTGACCCAGTGTGTTGTGGCCCAAGGTGTCTCAGCAAAGACTGGTGGCTGATCCCAATGTTGGGGTCCGAGAGCTGCAAGCAGTCTTTGTCAACTTCTTGAAGACACAGCCCACGAAAGATTTGTTGGCTGTGTTGGGGCCCTCCAACTCTTGCAAGAGAGTTGACTGGAAGAGTGCACCTCTTGCTGAAGGAGATGATCCATGTGCAAAGGAGATAAGTCAAAGAACGATGAAACTGCACATAAATGCAACAAAAATGTTACAAATCAAATACAAAATACAAAAATTCACAATGATAGTCATCAAAACACACCTAAAATGAATGAACTGGAGTGTAAGTTTGGTGTAAGTTTGATGTAAACTTACACTAAAACTTACACTCCATAGTGTAAGTTTAGTGTAGGTTTGGTGCAAACTTACACTGAAACTTACACACCTG